TTGGGACCAGCACCGACTGCCAGGGGAGAGCGCCCCCTGCTGAGCCCACCCCACAGCAGAGCAAGGATCCCAGCGGCGATACCTTGGAGCATAGCCACCTCGTCAGCGCGACCCTCGGCCCGGGCCTGGCCGCTGCCCTTCATCGTGATCTCGGCGCGCAGGGTGGTGAGCTCCGTCTCGTACTCCTCACGGACCTGCTGGACGCGCTGCAGCTCGGCTTGCAGCCGGCACAGCTGCTCCTGCAGGGCGGCGATCTCGTTCTCGTGGATGGCCGCCACCTCCTCCGCCTCCAGCTGCAGGCCATGGATCTCTTCGTTGGCCTCCTGCAGTTCCCGCTCCACCTGCTCCAGCTCCGACGCCTTCGTCTCCTGCAGGGAGCTGAACTCATCCTTCAGCGTGCGCATCTGAGCTGCACGGGGCGGGGTGGGGAGGGGGGTGAGAGCCTGGCGCCAGAGCACCATTCCTGCCCCTCCACCCTGGCCGGGGGACCGCGGCGAGGGGCGCGTTCCAGAGCCCGAATGATCCCAAAGCGCCTGCCAGCCTGCACGCACTAGGCTCACTTCACCCACCGCTGAAATGCAGCCACCTCTGGGGTGGGACGTGGCAGTTTGGGACAGGAAGTGAGGTATAACCCCATAGCCAATTGAATCTCTGGGCAGTGGATCCAGGGAGGCAGGATGAAAAAAAGGGGAATGACGTGCCCCTCCCAGGCTCCACAGAACAGCCAGGCCCCCCCAAGAGACACCCCTCACCTGAGGGTGCCTGGCCTCCACCTGCTTTGCCTCCCAGCCCATCTGCTGGCTGCCACAGGGCCTCCCGCTAGCCTGCGCCAGCTCCACCTCCGGGCTAGCTCCTGGTCCAGTCCCAGGAGCCGAATCCCTGGCCAACCCACCTGCCCCCCGCCGGGGCCTGCTCCGACCACCAGGCCAGAAACGGACAAGCAGGGAGGAGTGATGCCTGGGGAGCACACACGGGGGGGGCTGGGGGGGAGGGATCCAGCAGTAAGTGAAGTGGGTGAAAAGAGGAGCACAAGCCGGGGGGGGGGAACCCCTGAGGACAGTGGGGGTGGGGAGGCAGTGGGGGAGCCCCTGGGGCAGCTGCAGGGGCGGGATGGATATGGGCCGGGCAGGCTGTGGAGGCAAAGTGCTGGGGGGTGTGGAGCAGGGGGGACCCATGGCGTGATAGTGGTGAGGGAACCGTGGGGCACGTGTTTGGGAGTGGCGGGAGGGTGTGAGTAGGGGGGAAGAGAGCCGTGGCGCGTGCTGGGGGTGACGGTTTGGGGGGGGGGGGGAAGTTGGGAGGGGTGACCCCTGGCAGGTGCAGGGTGGATCCCCTGGGAGCAGGGGGGACTGGGGGGGGTTGGGGGGGGGCGGGGGGGGGGCAGGGAGTACCCCCTGGAAGGTTGACCTTGGGGTTAGGGTCCCCTCAGTGACCGGTCCCTGGGGGCCTCTGGTGGGTGGGGGGACCCTGGGTGTGGGTGCCAGGTGGGGGTCCCTGGGCAAGGGTTGTCAGGGAGGGTTCTCTCGTGGGGGGATTCCTGGGGCAGGGGTTGCTAGGCGGGAGAGTGCCAGGGAGGTGGTTACTGGGGTGGGAGGTTCCCTGGGAGGGGTGGTTGCTGGATGATTACTGGACGGGGAGGCTCCCTGGGAGGCAGATCCCCGTGGGTTAGTTGCCAGGCAGTTGCCAGGCAGGGGGTCCCTGGGGGGTAGGTCCTAAGGGGGGGGGGGGGGGGGGGGGGGGGGGGGGGCCCCAGGGGGGGGTGGGTGTGCGGTTGCCAGGTGGTACTGGGGGGGGGGGGGGCTGTTGCTAGGTGGGGCAGGCCCTGGCGACAGTTGCAGTGTGGTTGCCCAGGAGATCCCTGGGGGGACGGTTATTGGGCAGGGCCCTGGGGGTAGGGGTGATTGCCATGTGGGGTGGGCCCCAGGGGTGGTTGCCATGCAGTTGCCAGGTGGGGTCCCCGGGGGCTGTTGCCTGATGGGGAGTTCCCAGATGGTGGTTGCCGGGCAGGGGGCAGTTGCTGGGCGGTGGGTCCCCAGGGCAGCTACCAGGTGGGGACTATGCAGGGGGTGGTTGCTGGGGGGGGTGGTCCCCCAGAGGGTGGTTGCCATGCAAGGGGTCTCTGGGGGGCAGTTGCCAGGTGGGGGCTCCCTGGGGGATGGTTGCCAGGCGGAGGGTCCCTGGGGCAGTTGCCAGGGGGGAACCCCTGGGGGCAGTTGCCAGGTGGGAAGGACCCGCGAGGATGTTTGCCAGGCGGGGAGGACTGAGGGGGGGATTGCTGGTGGGAATCCCCAGGGGGAAGTTGCCAGGGGGGAGTCCCAGGGGGCGATTGCCTGGGGGATCCTGGGGGGCGGTTGCCGGGGGGGATCCCCAGGGGGCAGTTGCCTGGAGGATCCCCAGGGAGTGGTTGCTGGGGGGGGGCCCCGGGGCGTTTGCTGGGGGGGGGCCCCGGGGGGGGGGGTTGGGGGGGGCCCCGGGGGGGGGTGGTTGCCGGGGGTCCCAGGATCGGCTGCACTCACTGCCCACGGAGGTGGAGGGCGTGAGCTCCATGGCTGCGTCCCCTGGCTCCAGGCCGGGCTGGCCCCTGCACGCAGCCCGGGCGACCCCGCGCGGTTCCAGCTGCTCCGGCCCGGCCTGCGGCTCACGCCCTCTGCTGGCGGGGCCAGGCCCGGGGAGCGGCAGGGCCGGGGCCTTCTCCTCTGCCCCACCAGTGCACGCCCTGGCCTGGTGCCCCCGGGCCCAGTGTGACACACCCCTATGAGCCCCAGCGTGACACGGCCCCAATGGGCTACAAGCCCCAGTGCGGCATGGCCCCCATGGGCTACAAGCCCCAGTGTGGCACGGCCCCCTAGGGCTCCAGGCCCTGGCTGTTGCCCCGCGCAGCTTCTCATGGACTCTCAGGCCAGCAGGGACCATCTAGTCATCCCCTCAGCCCCCGCTCCTCACTGGGCTCCCCTGGGCTCTCACTGAGCTCCCCAAATCTTCATTCATAGACTTCAAGCTACAGAGAATCCACCATTGACTGTCGTTCACACCAGGCAGTGCCCTGTGCCCCATGCTGCATGGGGCCAGTTGTACGACACACACAGCCCGCTGGCTGCTGGTGTCACATGGGGCAGGTCTGATCCCTGGAACCCTACAGGGTTTGGTTCCTGGCTCCCCACCCAGGGCAACAGGGCATTGTCACTGGCAGGCCCCCAGGATGGGAGACAGGGGCTTGCTTAGATCATCAGAGCCCAAGTGTGCTCAGATGAGAAGTTGGGTTGATAAAGATGGGATGCTGGCAGGCCACGTGCCAGCTCATGCCACGGTCCCCTTGTCTCAGCTGAACAGCGACAAGCTCGGTATTAGAACTGTAAGACTGTGTTGAGTGTTTAACCGTGAGGGCGGGTTGTGAGTTGCTGCCGACGTTAATCCCACCTGTAACATCTGGGTCCCGTATTGTACAGCAATAATTGAGCAGTTGTGTTGTGAGCCTCGGTGACTGTAAATCAACAGCCAGGAGAGAGACATTAACTCGTGGGAAGGGCTGAGCTCCAGCAGAAGGTGTCACACCCTGCCCAGCAGGAAAGGTCCATCAATACCAGACGGACTGTTCTGGGATAGGAATTTCCCTACACACCATCAACAAGAGGACAAAAGTCTTTTGTTGTTCTGCTCTCCTCCCAGTGGAGAGGAGTCAGGCAACTGGACTCCTCCCATCAGCTGAGTTTGCAGCTCAGAGCACATGGCAGGAAGGGGATAAAAACCCCAAGCCAAAAGGACTTGGTATGTATCTCTATGATGCTTGGACTCTGGAGGGGACAAGGTGTTTGTAGGCATAAGCAAGAGATCCCCAGTGCTTAGCCTGGGTTAACCCTGAAGGACGTACAGAGCTTGCTTATTACAGAAACTTCTAGTACTTTGTGAAACTAACACTGGAACTCATTTGTGTATCTATGGTTACCTGCTTTAACCTGATACATAACTCTCTGGTTTCCTTTTCCCATCTTTAGGTAGTTTATTATAAGATTGGCAACAAACCTTTTCTTTGGTGTGAGATCTAACATGCAACTGACCTGGGGTAATTGACTAGTCCTTTGGGACTGGCAGTAACCTGAATATTGCTCTGATTCTTGGTGCAAGGGACCATCTATCAGAAAGGCAGGCTCCCCTGGGTGGCGAGACAGATCGGAGCACCCAAAGGGACTGTCTGGGACTCCTTGGTAAGGCTGAGGAGTTTACACTTGATAATTGGCTGGTGAAATCGAAGTGTAGAACTCGCAGCCAGTTTGGGGTTTGTGGGGTTTCTAAGAGTCCACTCTGAGGTTGCCAAGTATCAGGGGGTAAAAAATAAACACTTGGGGTTTTTTACCCACAAAAGCTTATGCCCCAATAAATCTGTTAGTCTTTAAGATGCCACCAGACTCCTCATTGTTTTTTTGCCCTGAGGTTGGGACTCACGCTCCTGAGTCACTGCAGGCAGCGTTACAAAAGGGAATCGTGTTGTCATGTCCTTAGACTTCTGTAAGGCGTTTGACTTGGTACCCGTGACGAAGTGGGGTTTTATCCGTCTTGCTATGTTGCATGTGAGTCTTACTGTCCTATACTAATACTGTGTGTGCCTTAGTTTCCCTGTGGACTGCACCAATACTTGGGTGGTGGGAATTGGGTGTAATATTTTGCTGAGGCCCTCAGGGCAGGTGAGGCTGCCCAGCTATTTGCATCTATGTAACCTGAGACCCAGGAGGGGGGTGCGACCAGGTGACACCTTTGGCCGGGGAAGCGAGACAAAGAGAAGGAGGAGGGGCATGACGGGGTGTCGGAGGTCAGGTCGGGTGGCTGGAGGTTGGCAGTCTGTGTTGGGGGACTGGAAGAGGGGGAATCCAGGGCGTCTGGCCCAGGATTCCCAAGATGGACTTGGCTGAGTCACTGATGTCTGCAATAGCAAGCTCTGTTCTACACTGTGGTCCTGCTGACGAATAAACCTTCTGTTTTACGCTGGCTGAGAGTCACGTCTGACTGCGGAGTTTGGGGGCAGGGCCCTCTGGTTCCCCAGGACCCCGCCCGGGCGGACTCGCTGCGGGAAGCGCACGGAGGGGCAGAGGATGCTGAATGCTCCAAGGCCAGACCCAGGAAGGGCGAAGCTGTGGAAGCTTCTTGCCCTGGAGCCCGTCTGCTCCGAGAGAGGAGGCTCCCCAGAGTCCTGCCTGGCTTCGTAGGGAGCAGTTCCAGAGCATCGCCCCGTGACTCCATGACAGTACCTCAGGCCATTTTGATTAAGATACAACAGTGATATAAAATTAACCCGGCACATGTTCAATGGCTTAAAAGCCAGCTCACTGATAGGACTGAAAACATAACTGTGAATGGGGACTCCTGGTTGAGTGGGTGTGTTTCTAGTGGGGTCCCGTAGGGATCGGTTCTGGGCCA